GAAAAATTAACAGCAATGAAACAGGTGTGCGTTGCAGGTAAAGTTAGATATTAGGACAATCTGTTTAATCTAGCTCATGATGTTTTACCCTGGTGAATATGATTCAACCATATATGATTAAAAAATATATATTATGTGTTACTACTTTGCAATGCAACATTTGTCCTACCATAACCCTAACCCATGACCCGTCTTCATACAGCGAAATGATTTGAACACAGGTTTTTTTTAAGAACTTGTCTGGGGGGTGGGCATCTACAAAAAGGGACCATACTATATTGAGTGTGGAGAGATGACAGATGGTTGTTGGTGACAAAAAGTTTGGTGTGGTATCGTATGTACTAGTAGGGGGGTCTGGGGGGATTCTCCCCCAGAAAATGTTTTTTATTTTTCCACCCCTAGAATTGAAATGTGAGCATTTTCCTCTGAGCATTTTCTGAAACAGATTTTTGGATATACAGCGTTACATTGTGCGTTGATAGACCGAATCTGATCAGTTAAGTGTACTTGCATGGTATGTTTATGTAAATACCACAACTGGGTCACTCAGGGGGTAGAAAGCTTGTTAAACTTAGTGGGTTCAACGGTCGCGAGGCGCCACCATGGTTGGCGCCGAGCAGGGAAATTTTGAACATTTTGAGTCTCTAGATCGTTGGAAATAGCATTTTCAGAGTCTTCTTTTTTGCTATTTGTGATTATAGAAATCAAAAACTTTTATGACCCCCCCCTTTCTCTGTGTTAAAACTTTTTTGACCCCCCCTATTTATAAGGGTAAAACTTCGTTTGCCCCAACCCCCCCCACCCCCATCCCCATAAATAATGACCACTCCCTTATCGAGAGACTTTGTTTATGCCTTTGTGATGAATCACTGACCTAATTATAGAATCCAACAGCAAACAGTCAATCAGAATGCCGCGTTCGTGGGCGAACGCAATCTCGTACCCAGAGCAATGCCTGTGCACGGGCTAGGATGGCATTGGCTCTGGGGAAATTGACAACCGGAACCCCTAAATTTAGATGTTCTGGTTCTTTGTCGGCATGCACGATTGATAAACGTTAAACCAATCACAGCACAGGAAAAATTCAATTTCCCCAGAGCCAATGCCATCCTAGCCCGCGCACAGGCATTGCTCTGGGTACGAGATTGGGGCGAACGCGAAAAGTACAAAATACCGGGCCTTGCTTGCAGGCCCACTATCAGTTCCCTTGGGCCTGAAAGCGGGCTATCATTTGAATGGAATGCAAATTTTGATAGGAAAATTACGCGCGGGTCAAGCGAGGATGAGAGTGCACGAGAGTTGGCAATCACGCGACCTTGCCCTTGGTTAGCTATTCTTAAAGCTTTCTCAACACTATCGTGTATTTTATTCGTATAGGTAATAGTATGGTTTCGAGTGCAATTTGAGTGGACAGAAACATGCACGAGTGAATTTTTCGAAGACTATCAAACTCACGAGTGTATGTTTTTTTTTCAAATTGCACAGGAAACTAGCCTGCTCAGAAGCTCCCAACCCGAAAATTTGAAGCCAAATTTCCGCTTTTCCTCTGAACGAAATTTCGGGCTGTGAGTAGGCTAACAGGAAACCATACTATTAATACTTATTAATAATATACATGAACATTTACATATACATGAACATTTACTGAGTCACATTTAGAAATTAAGAAAATTTAAGAAATTTGAAAAATAAAAAAATTAAGAAAATTTCAAAAATTAAGAAATTTGCACTGTATTCTTTTTTTTTGCACTGTATTTAATTTTTTGGCACTGTATTTCGAAAAAATTGCACTGCTCTTAGCCAATCAAGAATTGAGAAATGTTTTCATGTATATTATTTAAGTACGTTAGAACAAAGTTGGAACACTTATCTAAACTCTACCTTGTTAATCTAGAGCTTGAAAGTCCCCAGTATAAACTGTTTAACAATTCATGAACGCCAACTCTCATGACCTCTCACTCTCGTTTGACTGGGGCTTTATACCAGGAGATGAAATCTCAGTCCCCGAAACTTTCAGCTCATTAGGGAACTAAACTTACCATTTCATCAACTCCAAAAATAACAATAGTGTCAAAATCCCTCAGGTCAGTCTGCACAATACATAAGAAGGGTAGAGTTAATAAAGTTTTGACAAACGTTTGAAAGATTTTTTCTCCACTTCACTTGGTTGAAACTGAATATTAGAGTAGATGGATAATCCAAATGACGGCATATATACACTTTTTATACCTAACCAGGAACGGTTGCGAAAAATGCAACATTAAATCCCCTGGCAGGAATCGAACATCCGACCCTGCGATTCCTGTGCAGCGCTCTAACCAACTGAGCTACAGAGGCCAGTTAACGAGCGTTAGCAAAGGGTTCAGGTATCATAACCCGCACACTCGAAAATCCATATTTACAAGAACCTGTGGTTAACGCTCGTCTACTGGCCAGTAGGTAATAAAAAAAAAGCAATAATAAAAGCATTTATTCCAGGTGATCTTGATACGCGGAAAAGAACTGGCACTAGTTGTCAAATAAAAATCCATTTTATGATTAAAACAACTGAATATCTCCTGTAATATACTTTATTTCGATTCCATATTTTTGTCAGAGCTATAGTTCTCATAACCAAACATAATTACAAAATTTCAACTAGTTTCATAAAGAATAACGAAAGATATAATTGACTGAATACATCAAAATGGATTTCTATTCGGACAACCCTTTCTGAGCGCTGATTGGCTAAAATACGAACACGAGATCAGGGTTGTCAATAGAAGCCGGTTACCGGCGGTATATCGCCGTCTACTTTACCACTGACCGCCGGCTATAATCTACAGGTATTAAGAGTAGACCGAAAAACAAATGGCGTTGCAACTGGACTTCGAAGAACTGTTAACCCTATCTGATTAATATCGACTGTATTTGTCACCGCCTAGCACTGGCTTGTACAAGTGCTAATGATAGCCTATCGTTTCTGGTTACAGTGGAGAAAATTCTTTTGCAGCTGTGGAAATACTTTGATAACTCTGCAAAAAGAGCTGCTGCATATGCCAAAGCTGTTATGAAGAATGTCCATGTCAGAACAAAAAAGGAAAATAAAAGGCTCAGAAAAAGGTTCAAGAAAGCCTGCAGAACCCGCTGGCTTTCTACTGAGCAGTCATTGTCAATTGACAGTGTGTTTGAGGATTATGAAGCTCTTTTGTAGACACTTCGAATTTTCAAAGAGGATGGTGATACTACAGCTACTGGGTTGCTCACGCAAGTAGGAAATATCAAATTTCTTGGAGCTGTATGTCTTTTACACAAAACTCTTCCAGAACTATCTAACTTGTGTAAAGCTTTTCAGAAAGGAGCTGTTTCTTTTGCTGCAATTTCTCCTGCAGTTGACTATACTCTAGATGAACTGGATAATGTGGCAAACAATTTCAGCTTTATTTCAGATCTGAAAAACGACCTCAAGCAGGCTGAGCAGATGTGATTGGGATGTCTTTAGAAGAGTTATCTGCGAGTGGAGAATGTTTAAGTATAACCTTCTTAATCTGCAGAAAGAAGTTCCTCCAGAGCTTTCCAGGCCTGTTGGTACATGAGGCAAACATGGAACCAAAAAGCTTATTTCCAAGACACCAACTGAATGGTTGTTGGAGTATACTGTATAGTTGTCTTTACAATCAACATGCATACATCTTTGTCCTAGTCTTTTACAGTTGGCAGAGGTATACCTTACCCTCCCTGTGCGCAGCGCATGGCATGAGAGAGGTGCTTCAACAATAAAAAGATGCTTGTGTGATGTTACTCTGAGTGTATATCCACACCGGGCAGGCTTGAAAAATATGCCTGGCCACAGTGGGACGGTGGGATCCCACAGTGGCCAGGCATATTTTTCAAGCTTGCCCGGTATGGATATACACTCAGAGTAACATCACACAAGCATCTTATTCACCTGAGTACATTACACCAACACAGCAAATAAAAAAGATAAAACGATAAAACGCAATAAAAAGATAAAACGCGGC